ACTATCTCCCAGACTATCTTACTCTTCTCGCAGCAAGCTGTCAGAACAAAATGACAAACAAACAATGGCATCAAATATTATTAATATGTCAGGTAGTAATAGATTTATTTATTTTCTTCTCAGAGTGTACCAGAATGCATAGTTTGTTAGTATTTCTAAAAATCTCCTGGGGGAGAATCCCCCCAGACCCCCCTGCTGGGGTTGGGTTTTCAGCATGTGGGCCTTTTTATGTTATACAGTTCAGCTTTGATTTCATCATCTCATTAAACCTTTTTTTAAAAAGCATGCTTTAGTTCTGTGAAGGGATATAAGGGATATATGTACTGTACTTCACTTTAATTAATATCGTATGCTGAAAAGCGTATACATATTACAGCACCTTTTTTTGTTGAATAGATTTGAGTGGTTCAAAATTTCGGGTTGCGATTTATTGACAAAGGAAAAAAGGGGGTCCCGAGGCCTGACCAGTTAAGAACCACTGCCTTAAACGATAGGCTGTTATAGGCTCTAAAAGAAGACATTAACGACAAGGTCGACGAGTCATTTGTAATAGGAACTATGTAGAGAGGGATTCAAACTAAAAGAGTGGTGTGGGGGCATTAAGACATTAAAGATAAGCGTTTCCAACCAGTGGGGGATTCCTGGCCATCGTCCTTCCCCTCATCAGAGTCTCTCTCTTTCTTCTTTCGGTGGTGTCTGTGTCCTCGATGACGATGTTTCCGTTTGTTCTCCCTTCCAAGAGGAACATGGACGCCTACATACACCGCTCTGTGGCCTAGGGAAAAGACAAGTGCAATACCATTTTAGATATCTTTTTCTTACACACTCTTTTGCACAAATGAATAAAGGTTCGGGGAAGTTTAAATACAGTTCACAATTTGAGTTACATTTTCATTATAGATGATTCAAACTGACTAATTAGCAGGTGTTAAAGGGACATACAACTGTATCTTATTGGAAATAAAGTAAAACCCATGTTGTTTTAACATAGAATGTATCATTTAAATGAAATAAAGTTCTAAATGTTTACAACACGTCCCATCTACAGTATTCTGTACAATCTGATGACCAGATTTCTATCGTAAAACATGTTGACCTTGGAGTTTCCTGCCCATCACACACACATCAGATTTCCACCTCTGTTAGCAAATAAAGCTAAGACAATGGCAAACCAAATACCATTTCAGTGTGGTCGAGGCAACAATAAGATAGATTGAACTCAATTTCTAAATCCAAGGCTTCATTGTAAAACTTAAATGTTGAGCCTACAATAACAGTGTCAGTATTTACATCTGAACAGAAACACTAACATTTAAAACCGAAGACGGAGAACTCTGCTTTTCAATGGAGTGCTCTAGATAATCAACTTGAGTACAATGTTTAACTTTTTTCACCACTCTCTGTTCTCCCCAATGTTTTATTTACTTCTCCTCATTATTTTTACTACCACACAGGAACTGTGTTCTGAAATGCAAACGCCCTATTTTCACCCTACATACTCTGCCAATACTCATTTTTCACAGATGAGTCATCTCTCTTTGATTTGGGAGGGAACCCTGGGGGGAATGAAACCAAGACGCAGCACTCACAGGAAGGCACAAGTGACACATGAGCTGAACAGATGGAGAGGAACGGAGAGGGAGGAAGAGAGGGAAAAGACATGGGAGATGAAAGAAGATGGAAAATAAACAGCCTGGCTGGACAGAGAGCAGAGGGCTTCACCGGTGTCACAAAAGGATAGAGAAGGGATAAATGGAGATAATGCTGTGGACGGACATAAAGAAAGAGCAGAGTGCTGGCGGGGGGGGACAGAGGGACAAGTAGCAAACACCTGAAGGACATATTATCGGTGCTAAAGACGTTTGTTGTGAACAGCATTGACTATAAGATGTAACATACAGCTAGTGATGTGTATTGGCGAGAAATCGGACGTCTTGTAATGAGTTCTAACACAAAAGTGTCTTAATTATGCAGAGCCTGGTGTGTCGCTCTCAAAGTAATCAGCAACAAGTGAATGAATAAGCATTTGTTCAATACAAATGTGTGTTGGCCTTGGAAACCTACCCTTTCTAACACAATAAAGGTATTTTCAGTCGGTGTGGCTTCAAACTTACTGTCCAAATCCTCCTTTTCGTAGTTTGTGTGAGTACTGAAGCTGCTCTTTCCATGGTCCACTAATGCCTCCTCATCTAGACCCTGAGAACAACAGGAGAAAGAGCAAAAGAGATTGAAGGATACATTATTTAAAAAAAAACACAAACACATATGTAAAGTGTGCAAATAAATAGTTTCAACCCCAATTATTTTACTTGTTCATATAGCTTAATATACAATAAACCTAAATGACGGCTTTTAGAAAAAGACTCAAGACAAATGAATCCAGTTCAATAGACATTAAAGGAAAGTGTTGGTGAACAATTAGGAAAGAAAACACATTCAAAGCACGTCTTACTTGCAGTAGCTAACATAACCAGACACAACAGACAATCAATAAAGTGTCTCCGATAATGGAGCACAATGTTAGAAACAATGACCGAATAAAAATATATTTAAATTCAAGCTTTATTTTAAATAGACTGTCGCTAGAGAGGAATACATATGAAGGTGGGTTGATAAACAGGAGTGGCAGATATAGAATCTGTTGCAGTAAGATCTAGCAGAAGCATCTGGGGAACCAGCAGGGCAGAAAAGGACCCTGACTCAGATCGTCTAGGCTGTGATAAGACTGGTGGGAACACAGCATGAAGATCTTTACATTTCCTCTGACACCCCGGATATGTAAATCAATGGTGGGTTTGGTGAGGGTCCTGTTTGTTTTTTTATTTGTATTTTTAACCCCATACCAAATGACTCTATAGCTCTGTGTTTATGTGTTTGAGTAAAGCAAACTAATGACTTTGCAGATGGCCAACATCTACAACACATTACCACAACACTTAAACAAGGCAGTCAATATCTCGGGCCATAACATAAAATATTATTAAGTGTACTTAATGTTTAGTTGACCATGATCATAGACCAGCACGCAAATATATACTCTGATAAACAGGTTAGCTTATTAAGAAGATTATCTTTTTTTCCACAAACGAATTAGCCTCTATTGGAATATATATTCAGTGTTGGTCCATGCCATAAAAGGTTGAGTTACATGGCAACGTCAAGAGGCTGGCTCCACTCATTAAAACAGAGGTTATGTGACCTTAGTGAAAATGATCATTCAGATATCCAGGTCATGGAAACATCAACAGATAGAAGGATCCAATTAGAGGAGACACAACGTTTTCAGAAAACATTAGTATTGATTTTTTATCAAATTATAGTGCCTTAAAAAACAGATAACATTACCTAAACACACAAACACATAACTGCTATACTGTATGTGTGAGGGGACTCCTGAAATCCCAGCCTTAACCATCAGCAGTATCAACATTTACGATGAGGATATCCCAATCCTACCTCTAAGCTTATACTACCCAAACATTGTACAATTTGAAACTCAAAACTAGTTCTCATAACAGAAATGTAAAACCACACGCACACATACAAATATATAAAAAACATAAAGCTCCTCAACCCAAACCGAGTTTGGCTCTGACTCTACAACCTTAAGAACATTTAAAGCAGCCAAAGAGACACATCTCCAGTTACTCTTGCATGTGTGGCAAAAAAACAGAACTATATGTGCTTGAGAAGCTCCTGTGGGTCCGCCATCAGGGAACAGCAACTGATACCAATATCATCCCAGTCAGTCCCATCTTCGTGAAAATATTTGAATTCGGCACCTCAAGTAACCTTCATACTTCCAGCTGTTCTTTAAGGCCACATGGTGTGAATCAATAGAAGTCAAGCCAGCTCGGCCACATGATCAGCAGGCATGATGTATTGGGACAAAGAAAGAAACGCTTTTTTTAGACACACATTCATATACTGTAGAGTCGGTCAACACCACAGGGTAGCAGTGAGCTGAAGGTGGCTTTGAAAGCCAGGCTGATAAGATCGGCCTGAATAAGATATAGGCCTATATAACATACGTTTGTGACATGTCTGACAGTATGGATCCTATCTTACAGGGCTTTTGAGAGCTTGTGCTTTAATACCATGTTGCAGGTGACTGTTCATAAAATGTAAAATAAATGTCTTCAATGATTTTCTATATATACACATTTCACATAGGCCATATAACATAAATCAGACACTTTGCTTCAAAGAAACGCTGCTTCCTGTCTCGTGTACAAACCCTTTTATGCAACACAATCCCTAATTGGTTGATCCTTTTGATCCCTTCAACCAATCACAGAGAGGCTCTGCTGCCATGCAGGAGGGTGTAGAAACAAAAGTGACGAAGACAGCCACATGGTGAAAAGACACACGATACGTGGATGACATCAGGGCCTCGTGTGCCTTTGCCACCACACTGAAGGTTCACTCTGGTAGAAGGGTACCAACTCTATTTCTATCTCCTGCTTCCTTACTGGCTTACTATTAGGAATAGGTCTTCAATGACATTCAGAGTTCCACACATATATTACCATAATTATTCTCCTGTTAGAACACCACCTACAAAGAATGATGCCATCTGTGATTGTGCCTGTGTGTTTGTGCGTCCCAGTTGCTAGTGGATTTGCATGATAATGAGCCATGTTGCTCTCCGACAGTGCCTCTGTGAGGAGCGGTAAGAACATAGCTGCAGGCAGAAGAGCAGCAAGACATGAATCTATCTGTAGTAACTGAAGTTCCTCCCCCTACAAGTGAGTCAGATTGACCAAAGTTGACTAAAGCTGGAGTGGTTGGTCAAGGTAATTTAAGGTGAAAGGTCACTGGATTTTCAGCTTCCAGCATCACAACAAAAGCTAATGTTTGGTCCAACATTCAATTAGCTGACACCTTCAGAGATTTTCAAAGGACAAACATTTGCACTTGATGTCATGCAGTTTTAGGTAATTAAATAAAACATTCCAACACATTTAAAAACAGTTAACAAAATACTTTTTTGCTTGGCTACTGGTTTGGTCACAGTTGTAATTTCCTAATCCTATTGTGCCAGAATCACATGAACCAACTTTTACTAGCAGGGTGCACAAAGCTGGAGGAAAACCATTCCTTGCTTCATGAGTATCGTCTTATTTGTAAGCTTCTTAAAATACCACTTTTACTGTGTAAACAACAGTTTACTCACTGAGGTTTTCTATAGTATATATATGCATGTCACTGTCGTGCCTGTATATGCACGTGTTAAAGTCTGTCGTGCCCTCAACCCCACATTGCTTGGTACATTTTAAGAACACATGATGCAACCCGTCACATAGCTTCCAAAATAAACCTCAGTCTATCAGCCACAGTCCCCAGGCCAGGGAGGAAATTAGCCATTATGCCTACAAAGCACAGCTGTGGTTGGGCTACAGAAGCAGTGCCAGTGGGGAGCTGGATTTGTGGGCGGGAAAAAGAATGGCCAGCAGAGTGGAAAAGCCACCAAATAGTGACATCAATATATGACAAAACGTAATAGTTCTCTGGCTTCACCTAAACAATTAAGGAAACCAGATTATATTTGCCTAGCACTGTTATCTTAACTGTGTGGATATAGATAGATATTTGTGTAGTGATGACCATTATGATTGTTTTTAATATGCCTGAAACTAGTGTTAGATAAGGATGCAGGCGAACTTATCTAAGTGGATCTGGATCAACACATCAGCAACCAGGAAGCTTGATGAATGTCAGATAGTGATCAAGATAAAAAACATGGATGGAAACATTGAATGCAAGTGTAACCATGGTATGAGGTAACCCTCAGTAGGCATACATGTAACCACTGTGTTTCCTGCCCGTTCAGGGTCCACTGAGACATGTGCTGCCACATGACAGGAACAGTGCTCTACACATTCTGCTCCACCAGACAAAACCAATGTCGGACACCGGTGGGAATTCGTATCAGAAATCCATCGATGTCACCAGGAAACAAAACGATTCAAGTCTGAGTTGAGAAGTGAAAGCATGCATGGAGTCTGGTGCAGGATAAGCCCGGCTTTGCTCAAGCAAAACACCTCAGAGGATACAAATGCTGAACGAGTAGAGAGTGGGTTCCAAATAACAATCAAAGAGAGGAAGGCAACACAAGCAGGCAACCTGCCAAGTGCCAACACAACCACACAGTAAAAAGTGTCTCATCATTTCTCATCTTTCCGTATTCTAAATCATGCCCCTCATCCACTAATCTTTTTAACATGAGCGTCTCGTGGGAATGTTTTTACCAGACAACAATACAAAAATATGTGTAAATATGAGTGGTGAAAAGACTGCATATAGGACATTGTTTTTACAATAACACAAACTTCTGCTCCCAACCACATCAACCAGCAAACAACAACATGAAGTCCAATAAGATAAAAGACTCCAGCTGTTCTTAGTTTCATAGTTATACCCCACAAAAGCCTTTTGGTAATAAAACATTCACCACCTACAGACATGACATGTAGCTTCCTTTTTCCATAGAGCATATGTGAGGGCTTCAACACACCACCAAACAAACACTGACCACATACATTGACACAATGAAAACAAAAAAACCTTAAGGTGATAATAATACTTAGTAAAAACCCCAAACAACATCTGCTAAATCGTACTGCTGCAGTTTTGAAAAAGTCAACATACCGTATCTAAATTCCATGCAACTAATGCTGATCTGATGCACACTGTAAGCATGTCTGTATGTTTTACAGCAGCTTAGGTGAGAAAATCACCTATGTGTTGGGTATTATGCAGGACTTTAGGATTTAGGATTCACATGAACCTTTAAGAGTAAACACAATCCCATTGGAAAGAAAGCACTCTGTTGGAACTCACAATTGATCTTTATACAAGAATTTCTCAAGTACAGCATGAAAGATGTGGAAAAAAGTTGGGAAATCTGTTAATGTATCTTGGCAGGGTGACTTTAGATTCAGAAATATAGTAGTAGTCCCTTAGTGGAATTTTACAACTTTACCATCAAGATTGTTATCTTAAATGAGTACATTCACATACAGTGGGGCAAAAAAGTATTTAGTCAACCACCAATTGTGCAAGTTCTCCCACTTAAAAAGATGAGAGAGGCCTGTAATTTTCATCCTAGGTATACCTCAACTATGAGAGTCAAAATGAGAGAAAAAAAAATCCAGAAAATCACATTGTCTGATTTTTAAAGAATGTATTTGCAAATTATGGTGGAAAATAAGTATTTGGTCAATAACAAAAGTTCATCTCAATACTTTGTTATATACCCTTTGTTGGCAATGACAGAGGTCCAACGTTTTCTGTAAGTCTTCACAAGGTTTTCACACACTGTTGCTGGTATTTTGGCCCATTCCTCCATGCAGATCTCCTCTAGAGCAGTGATGTTTTGGGGCTGTCGCTGGGCAACACAGACTTTCAACTCCCTCCAAAGATTTTCTATGGGGTTGAGATCTGGAGACTGGCTAGGCCACTCCAGGACCTTGAAATGCTTCTTACGAAGCCACTCCTTCTTTGCCCGGGCGGTGTGTTTGGGATCATTGTCATGCTGAAAGACCCAGCCACGTTTCATCTTCAATGCCCTTGCTGATGGAAGGAGGTTGTCACTGAAAATCTCACGATACATGGCCCCATTCATTCTTTCCTTTACACGGATCAGTGGTCCTGGTCCCNGTCCCCCCGTGTGGTTCTGGGATTTTTGCTCACCGTTCTTGTGATCATTTTGACCCCAAGGGGTGAGATCTTGCGTGGAGCCCCAGATTGAGGGAGATTATCAGTGGTCTTGTATGTCTTCCATTTTCTAATAATTGCTCCCACAGTTGATTTCTTCACACCAAGCTGCTTACCTATTGCAGATTCAGTCTTCCCAGCCTGGTGCAGGTCTACAATTTTGTTTCTGGTGTCCTTTGACAGCTCTTTGGTCTTGGCCATAGTGGAGTTTGGAGTGTGACTGTTTGAGGTTGTGGACAGGTGTATTTTATACTGATAACGAGTTCAAACAGGTTCCATTAATACAGTTAACAAGTGGAGGACAGAGGAAGCTCTTAAAGAAGAAGTTACAGGTCTGTGAGAGCCAGAAATCTTGTTTGTTTGTAGGTGACCAAATACTTATTTTCCACCATAATTTGCAAATAAATTCTTTAAAAATCAGACAGTGATTTTCTGGATTTTCTTTTCTCTTTTTGTCTCTCATAGTTGAGGTATACCTAGGATGAAAATTACAGGCCTCTCTCATCTTTTTAAGTGGGAGAACTTGCACAATTGGTGGCTGACTAAATACTTTTTTGCCCCACTGTATGTCCTTTTCTGTGGTCTTTGTTGGGTCTAGGATTGAATGATATTGACGTTTAAAGTATTTTAAAATGTTTTTATGCTTTTTCCTAGGCTGATTTTGGTCCATTTAAAAAAAAGGCGCCCTGTGGAGTTGTCCTTCCTCATAAATCACAAGCAAACTTGAATCCAGCAGAATACCGTTTCAAGTCGCTACTAGGTTGAAAACCGCACTGGGAACCATTCATTTTTTTGCCCGGATAAAATGTCATAAAATACATCACGATTCAGGTGGCCCATTTAAATTGCAGACATTGCACACCTTACAGTTCGAAACTTTGTTGACATTCATTTTAATAAACGATAAGATAAATAAAAACAATTGTCTGGAACCAGAGAAGGTTTGGCTCTTTGGAATGTTTTGTTTTCCGATTCAAATGATTGCTTAAATCATTTATTTTATTTTTTCATACATTTAAACGTGATTTTCTAATTCATTGAACACTTGTAGGTAAAACCCACTTCTGTTAGAATGCAGGAGTGATTTAACCAAGCAGCAGCCAAACAGACAGTGAATAAAACAAGCACCCACTCAACAAGGCCTGTTCCCTGTAATCTCAGCTCCTCGCCAGCCCTGCTTCATTGGGACCAGTTCCAATCCGTAGAGACTGACATAAGAGAGGTGTGACAGCGAGAGTCCTGTCCCTGCAGATTACTACAAATCTCCCGTCTCAGACTGCCAACATTTTCAATTGCATACTATGCATGCAACTATTGTCCTATACTGCAAATTAAATGTAATTTATTGGAATTATGCAACTCATTTAATTATTTCTGAAAACAGAAATAAGACATTTGAGAGATTATTGATGGCTCCCAGCCAAATGATGTACATTAGAATATATATGGACGTAACATTTGTATAACATCATTTAAGAAACTTTTTTCAGGAAGGCACAAACATCCATGATGCTTAGCAAGTGCTGGGTAGCAAATGGAAACACAGATATCTGAGAAACTCAGTGTGTTAAATATTGTGATAATGATCTAACTTGCAATGTATTTAAAATGTGCTTCTTTCCCTTTGCTGCTTTCAGTATAGCGCTCAAACAACTTTCATGATGTGTTCATTACGCAAGTTGACATTGCAATGAAAACTAAAATGTCATATTGTGCAGCCCTAAAAAAAGTGGTATGATCTGATCTGATTGCAGCTATATGTTGCTGACTTTTGCTAACTAGCCATTCAATTATTTACCTATCTGCAGCCTCACCATGTTTGAGCAGAGCTGAACTAAGAGGGCATAGGCAGTGGGAAGCTTGTAACCTGTATAATGTCTCCCGAGTGAAGACAATCTTCACATTTAAAAAGCTGGGAAGATATTTCATTTGGCAGAAACGTTGGAAAATAAACAGATTCTAATCATAGTCTCCATAAGATGTAATCATCACTGCCAAACATGGTCAGACTTCGCAGGCAAACACAAACCTAAAGATGGAAACCATCCGCTCTCTCTGCCCCACAAATATTTTCCTTTTGATTCCAACAGCCCTTCCTCATTCGTTGCTCTGAGCGTAATCATTTTTGCACTAGACTGAATAGAAACAAGCATTTCATTCGTTTTAACGTCAGTTAGTCAATAAAAATCTCCATTGACAGCTTGCACCTTGTTTGTATTCAGCCACCTTGGCAGACCCATTCCCCCCGTCTCTCCCTAACACTCCTCGTCTTTCTCCTCTCTTCTTTCCTGTTCTCCTTGTCCCGCTCCTTTAAGCAGCCATAACTGTCAGTTTCCTCTCTTCTCTGCTCCTCGAGGCGATAAAGGAGTAGAAAGGAAACATTTCCATTTCGAGAGACATGTCTGATGAGGCAACAGCTTCTCTGCACTGACCACCTGCCACATTCATTAGCACAGATCACTCCACTCTGCCGTAGAACACAAGAGGACAAACCAATACAAAACACACACTTGATCCTGTTCAGTGCAGAACACAGCAGTGAGGCACACAGACACAGAACCAGACGTACCGTAAGCACATGCTCCCCTTCGCTCGAATCGTCCATTTAGACTAAAACATCCACAAAGCACAGGCAGCAGGGACGTGAGGCAGCTTTCTGATCTCTATTGTAGAAGGTGTGTGTGAGCTAAGCACTAACAGAGACACACTGTCGCACTTGTCTGTTGCCCTTTCCTCCGCTCATCTCTTTATACAGAGAGAGGAGGGGAGAGAGGGAGTGAGCTGCTCCTAAAAACACGGTGCCCTGCTCTACCCTGTCAGCCCGCTCTTGGCTCAGCAGCCAATCCCACCATGCCACCATGAATATTTTATTTGCCCGGCCAAGAGCTTAGAAACGCACATATGGGGGACGGACACACACCTTTGGAGGACATCCAAATGCTCACCCGCAGAGTTATTCAGGTCACAAATGAAGACCCTCCCCCAACAAAGATAGATAGAAACAAGAACACGTGTGAGCTTGGCATTCCTCAGAGGGGGCAATGAATTGAAAAAGGAAAGATAGTGCTGTGTATTCATTCATTTTCCAATGTCTTCATGCCTATGACATTCACAATCCCCATTAGAGCCTGAAGGTTGCACATGTCTTTCAACAAACTGTAATTTGAAAAGAAACGATGTCTCGGTTGTTTCCAGTCCACAAAAAGATCTGTTATATGAGTAGGGCAAAAAGAACCTATTTATGAAACCCAAGCAGCAAATATTTTTTATTTACCATCCTGGGTCGCAGTCCAGTCCAGAGATACTCTTGGCTTTGATGTATCACCTATTAACAGTGCCAGTCACTTCCAAGTAGATTTACTACAAAACAATAAGGGCAAAGATGAAACCAAGCCTAGAGATACCCCTGGCAATGAGGAATACAAAGCGTAAATAAAAAGAGTGCCATCTAAAGGCTGAATTAAACTTGAGACTGAACAGAAAGCAAGACCACGTGCAATACTGTAATGCAGCAAGGTTTGTTTTTTTACTAAAGTGTTTTAGAAAACTGACAATTTAGAGCTTTAACTCTGAAATAGGGTAGCAGCTATTATTTGTATTATTAATTAATCAATACATGTAAGAATTTAGTTACACAGTTATACAATATCAAAAACTAGTTATGTCTTCAAATGTCTTCCCCCTCGGGGGATTAATAAAGGGCCATCTTTTTCTAAATGTGTTTTTACCAGATCAACAGTCTAAAACCCCAAATGAAACAGTTTATTGTAATGTAAGACACGAAAAGAACCACATCCTCCTCAGTAAACTTGTTGCAATGTGTTGTTCAAAAAACAGTTGTGTAGAGAGAGAGCTAGAGAGAGATTGATGAATCTTTAGTACCCAACACGGATCAGTTTGATGTTTTGGTCTTGAGTGAAAGCTATCAATGGTACAGAAAAGATAACATGCCACTTAAAGCTGGGTCAGTCAACTTTCAACAGTCTCGGTCACTGTTTGTTTGTGGTGTGAAAAAACAACCACATGAATTATTGATAGTAATAGACATGCAATCTTAGCATGATTTTAAAAACCTTGGATTGATCTGTATAAAGACAAATCAACATCGTATTATGTCCATTTCCATACAGGCAGGGGAAACAGCAAATACGCTCAGGAAGAAGAGACAATTGATCATTTTTTCATCAATAAATCCATGCCTTTACAGCAATGCTATAATTTCCACTTCTTGCAAGTAGGGATGATCACCTTTTTTTGCTCCCGATCTGATTCCGATCATTTGATTTTGACAATCTGCCGATACCGATTTTTCCCAATCCGATCATTATGCAATGCATTAAGAGAAAAAAAAGGTACGGTGAATTCAGCTATCTTGGCTGTTATTTTTTTGGCCTTTTCACTGTTCTGGGGCAGTTTCTCTTTCCTTTTAAAAGTCTCTGAAAGTGTCGGTTGTTTCAGTGCCATTACCTGAGTGGCCGCTGTGTACTCGTCGTGTTGTTGGTGTTTGTTTCTCAGGTGGCGTACTAGATTGGTCGTGTTGAACGTAGCTCTGTTCTTTCCACCACGCTGAACCTCCGCCTTGCAAACATTGCATCTGGCTGTTACACTGCCTTCGCTTTCAATTTTATAATACTTCCAAACTCCTGACATTTTCTCTGTCCCGACTCCCGAGTCACCAGCTGAAGGTAGCCTCTTGTTAGCTTACTGCTACTATTAGACACTGCGCCCTGCCCACTCTATTGCCAGATTTGAGAGAAATAAGCAACCAGGTCTATGAAAACAAGCCCAAAAGAAGCAACACATACATGATGTTGTGTATTTTTAAACCAAAACTAAGGCCTCAGGATGACTTTAAGATGTGAACATGGTCATTTTTGTTTTGTAACATTAAACATTTTTATTAAAAAAAATAAAAATAATAATAATAATCCCGATCCCCGATTTTTTTCTCCCGAATCCGATCTTTTGAAAATCAAGTGATCGGCTCCGATCCCCGATCACGTGATCGGATCATCTCTACTTGTAAGGTACAACAGAAAGTGCTTTTTGGTACAGGATTGCGTGTGCATCTTGAAAGAGGCTTACAGTACAAAGATTAACCGCTCAATGTCTCAGATCCATTATCCATCGCAGGTTAAGCCAATATCACCAACAAACTGAAAAAACCATTACGCCTATATGCTACCATCAGGCTCACACTTCAACCATCAACAATCAGACCACACTTAACAGTATAATGATAGGGTTGGTGAATTTTTAATTTAATTGCACAATTCTATTCCTCTGTAGACAGGCATACTAATACATAGATTAGTGCATTCTCAGGGCCTTAAACTGCTTTTCTGTATTTAAAATGACCGTTACTGTATTGTTCCGTTACTCCCAGCCGTAATTTAGATGCTAGACAAGTAGAAATGTAAGTGGTGAAGGGAATGAAGGAGTACATGTATTGAAGTTTATTTAGGTGAGCCTTATAGAACTTAAACAAATATGCTATAATTATAACTATTTCAACTTATTGTGGCAAGCAAAAAAGATCTAATTGAAATACAACATTTGCTTTGAGTCAGAACCAAATTGAGGGACTATGATACACATTACTTAGACAATTTATAACATATCGCTGTTGTGTACACACATTAGCCTGGTTAAGATAGGAATTAATCATTGTTAGCATATTATCTTAATAGTATAGCTGAACAGAACACAGAACCAACAGAACTGGCAAAGAGGCTAATTTGGTGTAATTACCCATTCAGCAATGCAGTGAGTAAGCTTCATAAAACACTCACTAGCCCTAGCAGTAAGTGCTGAGCCAATAATAGTCCAGCTCATAGAGCCTACCCTGGCTGGACTAAAACCCTTTTGCACTGGTGGAGCAGCAGGACGTACAAATCCCTCTTTTCTTGGCATGCTGGCGAACATGTGAAGCAAAATTGAATCAAAGCTTAGACTGTACAACCAAATGAGTAATTGATAAACAGGGGTCAGGGGGTCAGGAACTAAAAGTGTGAATGTATTAAGCAAGACATGACAGATTGACTGAATGCAAAAAGGGCTTAAGCTTTAAGTTTTAAACTGGTGTTCCAACTATAATATTGCTATCATAACCCTTAATTTTTCTTTCAGTGTCTTTTGATTTTTAGCTGTTCGAACTTCAACCCATCTTTACTGGTACAAGTGTAAAAGCAGAGAGTCTATCAGTCTGTGTAAAGGCCTAATCTGGCCACTAAGCACTCGTAGTAAAGGCTAAACATGGAAAACACGCAGCAGAGAAGAAGGTTCATCTCTAAGTCAAAGCCTTCTAAGTAGCCTTCTATAAATGCCACAAATAAAGCCTAAGAAGAAGTGGTGACAAATGCAGCAGAACACCTACAGTAACAGTACACAGTGGCATAACATGCTATGGGTTCACTCCTAGTGTAAAACAAGTGTTTGAAATTATTAAAAGTTGGGGGGAAGAATTCATTCTAATTGCTAAGGATTTATATTAGAGAGAATCACTGGTCAAGACCATTTATACAGCCAATGGCAGCAATGTTTCATTTTCAAAATGACTCCTTAAAATAGCATTGGTCAACCAGCAAGCCTGATCACAACAAGAGTCTTCTTGTTTAAACCAGATTAATGCGTTGTCAACATGCACACACTAGCTAAATGCCTGAGTCAAAGCTCAACCAAGGGTATGTTCCTTGGGAAGTGCATTTTGATGGATGAAGGGCCAACAACATGTTGTTATATTGGCAATATTAAAATCACAGGAAGCACTATATTTGGTAAAGGTTGAACATGTGTTACAATACCATTTTGAATTATCTATTGTGAAGCTGCAGATAGATCCCTGCAAACCTAAACAAACTATTTATTTGGATCCTCTTGATCGTCAAATGGTAGAGCCCAAGATTGGTGCACAGTTAATAAGCCCAGTGCCTTAGTTAGGTATGGATGAATGTTTCTGTGTCACAGTGAATGCATTGACTTCCATGCCAGGGAAGGAAGTAGGCCTGCACAGCTATCCAGCTACACCTTCCATTGGGCAGCGAGGGGTCAAGTTTCCTCAGAGGCATGCTCATGTTCATACATGCACACACATATACGTATAGGGTCATCCCCACACACACACAAACGTAGTAGTGGACAACCATACACCAGCATTGATGTCACACAGTCAGCATGCATTTTAAACTTAGCTCTGAAACAAGTTTCTTTTTTGGTCTCGTTAACACTGCTGCGTGTTTGATGCTCATCATCCCATCTGTGACTGTAAAGTTACACCCAACGGACAGGATGTGGGCCTCTACTTGACTAACAACTCAGTTAAAATGTCAGATTCAAGAGAGTGTGGTAGATTTACTGTCACTCACGGGTCTGATCATGTGCAAACAAATTTCTCTTCCAGTTTCATGTTTGGTTTACTTCTCTAGCTTTCACTGTAAAATTAGCAGCATTTCCTGACTTGGAAATGACACACAAGGCGGATCTATTTTGGGCGCATTTGATATGCAAATTAGCCTTGTTATGTGGGTAAACGTACCAGTGGATCGTATCAACTAAACTAACTAACTAACTAGGGCACACACTATACAATAACGGAAGATTAGACCTGTTGAGCGTGAGGGGAAATGCTACAAAGCAGCTGGCATTAAACGTCCGACTTACTGAAGGAACACACAATGCTAACAGAAAGGCATTTATGTGCACGTTTTAGTTTGTGTAAGTGCATGAACACGTATGTCTAGACTTGCCAGAAAAAGG